CTATATTCTAATTCATATCTATGAGCCAGACTGCATGGTAGGGCCTTCATGGCACGTTATTTTATGTAACTGATGGAACGCATGTCTGTCAAACTTGAACAGCTTCCCCAGAGATTTAAGGAACATCCTTTTTGTCCAAGTGCCAGACGCACGTCGCAGTCAGTGATTAATGAATTGGAGGTTTTTATGTTAAACCCGTTTAAGGACTTGGGTGCTGGAGACCGTCTGTGCGCTACAGAGCGTCTCGTTTACAGAGATGAACATAGCTGAAGGCAGCCTTGTATTGCTTCGCATAGTATGTTTATGCTATATGTTTATGGCTGTATGAAGGCAGATGGATGATCACAACTCGAGCCCCAACTAATTGGTTTTGAAGGAGTCAGGACCTGGACTAAAGGAAACAACTGTCTCTGCGTCAGACGACATGGAAGCTACGCACCGCTACAGCTGCCAAAGCTCAGTACATTGGGTCATGTTTGTGTTTAGACTCCCGAGTATTTATAAGCAAACCAAAAGGCCATTAGCAGTTAAAAATTAGTAGCTAATTCTACACAAGGAAACGGTTTTTCCCTATATAAATCAATGCAGTCGTATTTTAGGGCTTATCCCATTTTAAATGTTTTTCCCGTTTTGGCTTTTAAAACTGAAACTAAATGATTTAATAATAAATTTGGATTGCAAAAAGTAATCCAACTGGAAATAGTTTTATTTTAAAAAAATCACTCAATAAAGAATGATCTGTTTATTCTTTATCCAAACACAAAGCAAATCGGGGTGTCTGATAGATACACAGCTATGTACTTTCTCAACATTTAACATTCAGATTTGCAAAATCGATCATCTAAATGGCTCTGTGAAAGGATGGAAGGAGGGTGTAGAGAAATGCCACCATCTTGTCTTTGTCTCCATCTAAACTTTTGATCCTCCTGTAACAGATCTCTCTGTCTCCAATGCTTTGTTTCATCCTTCTCCTCATCTCGCCCTCTCTCCCCGTCTTCCTGCCCCTCTCGTGTCACGCATTTCCGAGAGTCAGTGTATTCTAAACTGTTATGCTCTTGTTTCCTATGGTTATAATCTCCAATGACATGCCAGAGTCCCATTTCCTTTTTCAGCCCTGCATCCACAGTACCAGTGCAGCCTTAATGTACAGTGTGTCCATAAAGCGAGCACGCAACGCAGTGCAGACACTGTGCAGACCTCAGCTTTAACACATGCATTACATTCAGTATTATGTATCATAATTGTGATTTAAGTCTGGAATGAAAGCGTACAAGTGGAGATTAATCTGGCTGCCGCAGCTTCTCATGCGGTCGTTTACTGAAATAAACAAATAAATAAAATGTGAACGTGAACGTTCTCACCGTAGTAACAGTAACTATGTGTCATAAGAATTTATTGTAATTCAGAGATTTGTATTCGGCATCTTATTTCAGTGCTTCTCAAGTAGACACTGCCAAAACAAACAAACAAACAAACAAACACTGATTATTCTCATTTCTCAGTTTTCCATTCTGACAACGTGACAAAAAGCCTTCATGACGTGGTGATTTTTGGTTGGGCTACAGGAAATTTTGACCATCATCTGTGCTCAGAAAGTTAGTTAATTCAATCTAAAACTAGTTCGATCTCATAAAATTTAAAAAACAAGCAGCAGAGGTTTGTGGTCGTGAATGAAGGAGGACGACTAAATACTGTGCCTGTGCTCAAACAGCATTAACATAAGACACACAATACTACTGCCCATACCGTAACAGCTGAAGCAAAGCAAAACTGGAATAAATCCAATCATTTAACAACTGAAGTGGCATGCCAGTGTCTCCACTGCATTTTGTGCGTCTCATGTCATGATGTATCACTGCCTAAAAAGGAGGGAAAAAAAGCTTTTCTGGGAATGTTAAGCTCCGGCCTCTTTCCCCTCAACAGTGCACTGGTGAAATGACGTAGCACAAGATAAAATAGTAATGCTAATATCAATAGTTTGTCCATTACAGGTCAGCTAACTGTCCACTGGAACAGTTACAAAGCTGTTGGTTTTCGATCTCACAAGGCCGATCAATACGGGGGCATACTGTTTCAATTTTGCCGGCATTGATTTTCTCTATAACACTCCAACCCTAAAGCATTCATCTTTCTGAAGGAAGGAAGATTTGATTTACTGAAGAAAAATTGGAGTGCACATCACAAAGATTTTTTGCCGGGCGGGAGTGTGACATGCCAAAAGATGGATGTCCCTTGGCTGGGAAGCCTCTAGCCTAAGGGCGTCCATTAGAGCAGCGGTGCTGCAGAAAATGAGCTGCTTATATGAGGAAGGAGGAGCAGAGGGAGAGGAGTCGGTGCTCAAGGTGTTTATGTGTGTGTGTGTGTGTGCGTGTGTGTCTGGAGGGGCTCGCTGTAGGTGAGGATTTTTGAAGTAAAGTGGAAATAAAAGGATACCGTTGCAAGCTTGCACGTGCAACTTGAATAATGTTTGCATTTGTCTCAGAGAGACTGGTGACATCAATGAACAACTGCTCTGGTTAAAAAAAAAAGTATGCACACTTCTTCTACATCACACAATCTTTTTCCAGCTGCAGCCACCTTCCTTTTACTTTCCCCGCTTCCAGCATCCAGAGTGAATTTCCATGGTACATTAGTCAGCCTATTAGAATGCAATAAAGAGAAGGTATGAGAGGGGAAAAAGAGGAGAGTAGTGTCTGTCCCCAGAGACCGCGAGTTGGCGTTCTCCATCATCTGCCCTCATCTCCCCTCTGTCTGTCGACTTTGTCTAGGTGTCATATACATGAAAGATGATTCCTGACCCAAATAAACACCACAGCAGGCTTGATGCTCGGTGGACCCAAGCTCCAAAAAGGAGGGGAAAAGTGGAGTGAGCAAAAAAAGAAAAAAAAGAAGGATATCTGACAGTTGTTTCATTTGTGATCATCTTGCTAGCTATTCATTTACTTTTTCCTCTCTTAAAAAGACAGCAGGCTGACATGTTGTACACCTGAGTCTCAAGGTGCTGGGACACAAATGCATGGATGAACAGGTAGTCAACCTATCTGTCTGACCGTGGATCTGTCTGTGTCTTGAAACTAGACGACAGACAAGGGCATAAAAAAAAAAAAAGATAGACACTCCCTTTGTCTGGTGAAAGGATTCCTCCTCGGACACTCAGTGATACAACTGAAGTGGGATGTGAAACAAGAAAGAGCAAAAGGACAAAGAGTGAGGGAAAAGGGGACAAGAAACTACATGTGGTGAAAGACTGACAGAAAGACAGAACTGCAGACAGAGAAGAAACAGAGGGGAATGGAAAAAGGAAAATCACCTAACACCTCTTTTCTCCAGAGGCCAGGGCGGCTGTAAGCTGGATATTAAGACACAAATTGCATTCAGGCAGGTCACACTGTGTCACAAGATATTAGATGCCTGCCGTGAGGAAACAACAATTCCCATCAGCTTGTGAGAAAATAATATTTTCATTTTCAAACCCTTTATTGAATGGAAACTTTGGGGAATACGGTTTTATGGCGTGTGAGCAGGCAGCCTACAGTTTTTAACACCCATGCAACAAAAAGGACGCAATCATAGCTGCGTATTGTCTTTGTGTTCCTGGATTTCATTTTCACAGCTGGAAAAGAGGTTGCGGGTTTCACTGGGTGAATCCATCCTCCCCCCTTCCTTATTTACCATCAGGAATGATGCTGCACCACATGCTTTGTGTGTATATATGAAATTAAAAATAAAGAAGAAGAAAATCTTATATTAGGAAGCCTGCAGGTATACAGGTGTGCAGAAGGGGTTTTTTGTTTGTTTTTCCCACATTCATCGTTTCCTTTTACTTGTTCTTTTTTTCAGAGATTTGCAGCACCAGATGTTTCTCCTATGCCCACATACCATCGGCTCTGGTGCGAAGCTGCACCACCTGACCTTCACAGTAATTGACCAAAAATATTGATGTAATGGCACAAGACTGATTGTGATTTATTAAAAGAGCGCTGCACTCCAAGGCTCAGTGCCAATGGCTCCCTGCGCCCATCGGCAGCCATTAGGAAAACCATCAATAGTACAGCGGCATAAAGCAGCGGTAATGGGGGACTTTTCTAGCCAGAGCTCGTAGAACACAATATCCATATTAAATGGCGCAGCCTTGTGTGAGCACACATAGAGACAAACAGAGAGAAAGAGAGCGCGATGGAAGGAGGGGAGAGAGGCAGATTGGATCAAGGCAGGAAAAATATGACAAATAATACACCATAACCTGATCCCGATATGAAACAGAAACAAATAGAAAAGGAAAACAAAGGCAGCGAGAGATAGACTCCTGATCCAACGGCAAACTAACCCTCGCCAGACGAGTCCCTGGAGACTTAGTGCAGCCTAACAAGCGTGAGCCAGCAGCCGTCTCTGGAGCTCGCCATTACACACTACCTGCACAAACAGCCATCATTAGGGAATAGCTGCATTGGACTGTGCTGCCTATTTGGCGAAACAAACACAGAGGATAAGGTTCCCTCTGTTCTTAATGGGAACTGAGCTGTTCAAATGGCTTTCATCTCTCCCCCCGAATCAATGCATCATTCAACCCGCGGCTGACATTTTCACCTTTGCAAATCTAATTTAATCAAAGTCATGAGTACTGGTGGCTGAGATTAAAGATAATGAGATTAAAACCATAACGGCGATTTGAATAATTTTCAAGCCCGACAATTGGATGCAATTGAAGGCATTTCTATGAAATTAAAGTAATAATGTTGCTTCTTGATTCTTACGATTATACGGGCTTATCAGAAAGAAAACCTAACGATGAGACAAAAAAAACATGTTCACGCACACACACACTAAATAAAATAATGGATTAATAATGGACTAGCTAAAGCATACTGTCTGAATGTAAGCGTGAGGGAGGGGGGAAATAAATAAATAAAAACATTTATATAATACGTCTAATCTGATCTTATTTGAAAGCGGAGCACAGCTCTGTTTGAGTCTTTACACAACCACAGTTTTTGTTTTACCTTATGGAAGAGCCGCCCCAGGCTCCATGTTTGTCGGTCAGGATGTTGACTATCTTCTGGATGAGCTGTGTGGCTGTCACATGGTCGCGGTACTTGGCTGCACGGATTAAGTGGTCGCACAGTTTCTCCTCATCACGTTTGTCTGCTGCGTACTGAGCACAGCTAGACTGGAAAAGAGAGGGGAAACAAACACACATACATTAATAATGACACCCTAGCATAATCTATAAAGTGCACATCGCCAAAAACCCCCAAAACAAAACAAAAATCACACATGCATGTGCCACACATTACACCGTGCTCTTGTGTGTAAATAACACAAACAAAAACCACACAGATATGAGCAAAATGGTGTTTTCACATACAGAAACTCTACTCTGACTAGAACCAAATGAAAAGCACAGGGGGTCATTTCTGCCCTCGTGTCATGTTGATTAATAACAGTGGACATGTATTTTCTAATGCCCTCCAGCACACCAAATCACACGATACCTACAATGCACAGGGAGGACATTTTTCTCTGTCTGAATTTGTTATCAGAACAGGCCTTTGAACTCGGCAGCGATGCTGAAACTAAAACACCTTCTGACAATAGGGGCCATAATTTGAAACAGTGTTTGAAGCTTTCGTAACCAATTTTTACAGCGTATTCAGGCTGCAATCGTGACTTACTGTGGCATGCATATTGATGATGAGAAGTCAAAAAACAAAGAAGAAGAACATGGGCTTTGTATTGCACGATTAATCGCGTAGCCTGGGTATGATATATGTTTATTATCGACCACCTTTAGATTAGCGTTAAACTGACTGACTAGTGCAGCAGTCATACAGTAACTATTAAACTCAAAAGCATGGCTGAACAAATACAACAAGCCCTCTCAAAGTTAAGGGTAAAGCGCTTTATAATGGGCCCTCCTCTTCAATTTCAAGCACAACATTTCATATCTGACAGAAAATCTATAGGTATAAATCAAAGAGGGGCTTTTCTGTGGGCTGCTTAATTATCAATCTAAGTCTCTTTATGTGGAATTAAAGGGGGCCCTGACCTTCCTAGCACGATGACCTAGTCACTATACTTCATACAGAAAAAGGTGCCTTAAATCTGGGACAATCTGTGAGTCCCCAAATTTTCTACTTAGTTATATGCATTAAGCTCCTTGCAGGTTTCCATCATTTATACAGATAGCAAGTAGCAGGCCTGCAACGAGTCTACTTCTATCTGCTCCTGTGTGAGACATGTAAAGTCTGCAGTACTAATCAGCGGTGCTGGGTTCAAACTCATAACCATAAACAAACACTTCATCACCTGTGTGTTGAGCCTGCCCAAACACCCAAACCCTCCATGCTGTAATGGGCTTTGCTTCTATCCGAAGCCAAAGTCTGTGGGAGAACAGGCCAAGTTCACAGACTCGACCTTAAAATAACAACCAACATTTTTTTTTAAAAAGCTCAGCATGTAAGTAGCGCCATTAAAACCCAAACTTTGGTTTGCTTCTAAGTGGAAAAGACAAGTCACAGTTAATTCCAGGGGTCATACCGTTGATGTGAAGTCAGAGAATATGCCGGGGTATTATGAAGGACTTATTATGTTATGCTATTATGAAGGTTGGAGCGAATAAGTAAATCTCCCTGCTGGCACCACCTTGCTTTCCCTCGCATACAGGTCGCACTGACAGGATAAAGGACAGAAACTGAAGAGAGGCATTCGGAGACATTTTAAAAACAGACCGTTCTTTCATTCCTTTCAAGGAATGCCAAAGAAACATAAGAAATAAATTAAAACTTTCTGCTTCCACTTTAGTTCAAATCATGCCTCTTTGTGAGCCACTAAAGCAGTCAGTGTGATTATTTTTGATAAGAAAACACACTTTAAAAAAAGAGAGAGGGAGACGAGGACATCCGAGTTAAAAATACTCAGCTGGGGTTGAAATATGGGAGACTCTTCTCCGTTTGCCTGCTACTCAGACAGCCACCAGGGCACAACTTGCCGCCAGTGAGAGCGTTATGACTTGCGACATTGTAATCATGGGCAGCACCTTCCATTACACGGCCTGGCTGACAGGGTCGGGCCAACGTGGGTGCTGGCTCTGCCGGAGGGAGACAGCTTGGTTGAAGACGAAATGATAATGGCTGGCATTAATCGAGTCAATTACGCTGAGTCGTGTCTCCCGCAATTCATCTACAGTTCAAATAAATAACTAGGGATGTGTGTTGGAGTTTTGGGGAAGGAAATGGCCTAGCCAGACGTGACTGGAGGGTGAAAAGAACAATAATCATCTCTAAAAATCACACAATGGTGGAAAATAAGCAACACGCACCTGCAAAGATGAAGTGTGAGAAAGAAAAAACAAAACAAAATCACATGAATTGTAATCACAGCTGAAGCCGAGTCTATAACGAGAGAAAAACATAAACACGCAAGCTTTCTGTGGCTGCTAAATGTTACCAAGGCTGCCAAAAGATTGTGTTTGTGCCGTGTTGACTACAAATAATAAGCGGAGGTGGGGGGGGGGGGATGTTAGAAAACGAGGAGTAGACTTTCACATCTACACAGCAGCGTTGTACTAGTGTCAGCTTTATCTAAATGCTGTAGTTGTTAGATGATGCCTTGGCTCCCCTCCTTCTCTCCCTCTGTGGGTTGAGAGGGTTAACCAGTATAATAGGCCGGAGAATGGAGGCTCATTACAAGATATCAGCCCTATGTTTATCAATTAGAGTGACAGAGAAAGGTCTAGTGGTGTTGCCGTGCCACGGCGAGCCTTCAACACGCCGTCTGACAAAGCCAGGGTCTCGAGGTTCTGACGGAGAACAGGAGGAAGGAACAAAACCAGCAGAGATATTATTAAAGCGCTTGATTTGCAATCTCTTGACATTGGTGGCACGTCAGGGATACAAGTGCGCCAAGGCTGGGCCTATTGCTCTACGAGATTCTCCAATTTCTCACATCCGTCGACAAGCACTCCCAGAGGGTTTCATTTACGAACGGGCAGAGAAACTGTCCAGAGGAAGCCGAGACATCAGGCTTGTCCTTGTCTGGCATCAGAGAATGCAAATATACTACAAATAAATTCCTCCTGGAACACAATGGAGGTCTAGTGAGACAAGGGGATGAAATGAGAAAGGAGGGAGGGAGGGAGGGGGGCGGTTGCTAAACAAAAGTAGATGGCGAATCGGTCCACCACCACCACCAATTGGTTGCAGAGAGATTCTCTTGCACTTGATCTCTTGCCCTCGAGTTTTCAAATTGCAACATAAAATGTCACCAGGGGAATTCAGACAATAGGCAGGGGAAGAAACGAGTGAAAGGACGAGGAGGGGGAGAAAAATGAGGGCTTAAAAGTACAATGGCGAACAAAAGTCACCAAATGACAATGCCTGACAGCCACTTCAATTCTGAAATGATGCTCCTGTCATGCTGTGCTCCCAAGTATTGATTTTTTTGCTTCTTCTCTTGGAGCGCCAGAGGGAGAGAAAAAAAATAATCTAATCCAGTCGAAACAGATCCCTGCTACTGGCATCAGCCCACTGCTATAACCACCATCAAGGTTAACGCAGGCACAACACTTATCAAAGTATCTCTCTCCTCCTTTCTCCTCCCCCGGCTCCTCCCCTCACACTGATCTTTAATGGACTGGTCACCATGCTCGGCTGGCAGCCCCTTCATCTTTTCTTACCCAGAAACCACTTGTCTCTGCAAAAACCTCGCCCTCCTTTTGCCACATCAGTCTGCACGGCTGCCATCTCCTTGCGCGATAACTCCGGCACAGCTTCAAGGTCGTGCCACGTGAAAAATCATTCGTGTTAAAATGTCATCTGGAGATGAAAAATAGTCAAATGAAGGCAGGACGCAACCGGATGAAAAATTTGGTTGCACCTCTCCTGAATTTGCTGTTGCCCAGAAGTCAGGAAGGCAAGGTGTTAGTGGCACGGTGCTCAAGCTGAATGTAAAAGCAAATCTCCACCAAAAAATTTTTTAGATAAAATCTCTCTTTAGATAAAATCTCTCTCTTTTTTAGATAAAAAAAGAGAGAATTAAAGCAGCAAACAGACTTATTGTGAATAAAAACATCTAAAAAAGCGGACAGCAGTGACAGCGATGCTCTTTTATCCAGCATTACAAGCTCACCTTCAGCCATTAATAGGAACAAAAAAATATATATATATATAAATATCAGGAGAACATTCCTCCAGTGACTAAAGGGATGGTGTCGGAGTGAAACAAAGGAAAATGTGGAGTAAAGTCATATTTCGGGGTGAGGTGGTCAGTAATAATGATGGGAGCTGCGGAGGAGGTACCTGGGGACTTCATTATGTTGACAAGACAGCAGGACTGAGACTACTGTTCTCCTCTCTGTAACCCACTTCTCCTTTTCCATTTCTTGGCATCTTAAGTGAAACAGTCAATGCTGTGTGTGTGTGTGTGTGTGTGTGTGTGTGTGTGTGTGTGTGTGTGTGTGTGTGTGTGTGTGTGTGTGTGTGTTGGGGTAGGACAAGAAGAAACACTAAAGTTAGTCAAGGTGTTGCGTCTTTTGACAATAACGTGATTATATGTTAGGAGCCTGCTGTCCAGGCTGGAGAACTAGGTGCAGTTTCTCACTTTTCTTTTTAAAAATGTGCCCCTGTTCTCATGGTGCTGCGATACTATCGCACAAAGACACTTGCTTTTGTTTTATTGGGTCCCCCCCTCTCTCATTCTCTTTATAACAGATTTGCCTGTAATGAGACGCTCGGTAAACCAGCCCTGCTGACATACTACATTACAGCAGCGACAACTACATGACAGCAGGCTACAGTTGGTGGCAGCTATCAGTTTGAGTGCTGCAAATGTGGTGGTGAAAATAGCCTTTGGGAGTTACGGTTTCTGACTTTTTCCCCTGCGTGTGTGGTGGAGTATCCCCCAATCCCCACAGTGCCGATTTATTAGGTATATGAGAAATAGAAAAATAAGAAAACTGCATTAGCACTCACTCTCTCCAGGCATTACTTGGAGAAAACAGTAAAGTATTTTGCACGCACTCATTTTGTTTTGTTTGTTCTTCTTAAATTTACTTCTAGAAATTTGCATTTCAGTAAAAACTAGAGCAAAGTGGCTTTTGTTATTTCTCCTGTTGAAGCCCATTTTAATAGACTTGACATAATTTTGTGTATAATTATTTTATTGAAACGG